GCGTGATGTAGCTTATCAGCAGTACATACTGTGTGTTCATACAGGAAAAAAACATGCCAGCTAGAGGCGCTGGCGCTGCAAACAGTCCTTCCTACAACCTTGGAGCGGTGGCAGTGGTCGTAGCTCAACAGTGAGTCACTGCGACCGATGGTACAGCCGCTCTTGATCTTCTTCCTGTAAAATCAAGAACAGCAATCGCAGACAGGTTCATCGATCGCACGCAGAATAGCCTAGGGAAACAGGAGATCTACTGCCGTCCACCTCATCAGGCCGGTTTCGGAAAGCCTCACATTTCGTAGTGATGTAGTCCAAAACAATTCTACAAATGCTTTGGAAAAGAAAGACTACATACAGTAGCTAGTGTTTTTGAAATATTGCACTCACCTCCGCTTTTCGACTGACACTTCACAGTGTGGCGTGCGAAAAAGGACGCACCACAGTTTCATCCACCAGCGTCCGCATCGGATGAGTGCATAATATTCCTCCTGAAAATCCTCCTCTGCCAAATGGCTGGAACACACGCGAAGGATTTACATTGTAGTCCCTAAATTGTCAAGCAAATAATTATGTCGCTTGATAGCTGCTATGGTGCACTGCTCGGCCTGTGCCAAGCACAATCCTTCAGAAATTGGTGCAGGTTCATCCCAGGGGGGTTACCAGTAAGATTATAGTAGCCAACAACACAGCCAGAAGCCATGATGACACAAATACCCTCTCCTTCCATGGACAAACAGAAAGAAGATGCGAAATCCCAGTGTTTCTGGATCTGGCCAAAGGATCACCAAGTCTCAATGACGTCACGGGTTTGTGACGTCACGGCACGGACCCGAAAAGGACAATTGAAAACTGATATATATCTCAAGAACGCTTGGTCGGATCGAAGTGGGACCTTCACCATTCGACTCAGCGTCCAAAACTCTACGGACCATGAAGTTTTGATTTTTGGGTGTAGTTCCCCTTTAACCTGGGATTCGAACCCGCACTATCGCGCGCCCTGCATGCATCCCCCGATACACTTCGCATACATACTAATTCTTCCAAGTTGTTTCACATTGTGATCTTGCATTTGAAAGCCCTATTTGAATCAGGGAGTAGTACCATATGGTATTGTACTACTCCCTGATTTGAATTTAGAAAAGCGATCCTTTCAGCTTTTCTATGTTCACATGGCAAGAAAAACGACACCGCTATGCTACGTAAGTTTCTACGTAAGGTGCTCGGTACTTCACTTAGGCTACGTAAGTTTCTACGTAAGGTGCTCGGTATTAATATTAGATCTACTAACGCGTGGTAGCCGCGTGCTGTGCACGTGCACGGCAGACATTGTGTTGCATGCAGTGCAGTCCGTTTTCGGATGTGCATGCGCGAGGAACTTCCTTCTTTGGAACTGCTTCTTGCATGAGCTGTTTCGGATATTTCGTGTCCTGGCTTATTTGGCTTCGGCTCTGCTGAGACCTCTTTTCACGGAATATTTAATGACAGGTGAGTTGATCAGTTCCCTTTGATTCATTTGCTTGTGTTGACTCTTTGATTTACGAAAAGTGTGCTGATTTTAGGTGGAATACAATAAAATTAATAATGGAAAAGCTGACAGGATCTCTTTTCTAAATTTAGCTTTTCTGCTGTCGAGGCCTCCTTTTACGGAATACTCAATGACAGGTGATCTCTGGGTTGACCAGCTTCCTTCGATTCATTTGCTTATGCTCACCCTTTCATTTACGGAAACGTGTGCTGATTTTATTCGGATTTAATAGATCCATTCGTATCTCTTTGCCCTTGCCAACAGTGTGCGAAGAACGCGAGTTCACCTTCTTGACGGTAAGGCACTGGTCATGATTGCTTCCGGCATTCCGTGCTCCGATCATAGGGTAGAATCTGAATTTTGCAGTGGCATAGCATCGTAACGCGTTGGCAGTTCCCAATCTGGAGGGAAAGGTTCAAAGACGCATTGGCCGAGTACTAGTATGCAAAATAAATTCGCATATCAGGGAAAATCTCCATTATGGAGAAGTTCATGCATTCAGTGACTTGTTTGCTTCATACGAAACAAGCCAATGGGTGCAGTCTCGTCTCGTGAAAATCTCGTACGATTGGATTTGTTTACTCGAGTCTGGGCTGTTTGATTTGTGAGTAGCGCCGAGATTGCACTGCCCCAAATAAAGTTGTGTGCTGGTAGAGCAAGAATTACGATCTGCAATCTGTTTGTAGTACCTGCAAGAATGTGCTATACATGTATCGTATTTCCTCTGTTGTTGTTTCAGTTGCCGTCATGTTGCTAAAGAAAGGTTCAGTGACTCATTTGTTTCATAAAAGACGAGTCAATGGTTTGGTCTGGCTTAGAATCTTTCGCTGTTGAAGAAATCTATTCGTGTCTCTATTGGAGAAATAATTGTATTCACCCGTTATAAAATAGGGTTAACACAAACTCACAGAGCAAATGCCATCGGTCCCTTGATGTTCGTCCTAAAGAGGTTTGACTGGATATCATTCATACTCCCCCGAAGTCGTGTAACATTTTACTATTATGGAGTGCCTTGTTTATCTCTCAGTACCTAAAACCATATATCCTTGCCCCTTATATCCTCAGGATCAGTGTAGTTGTTGGAACGAGGTGTTGGACTCAGCGATGTATTTGTTTACATTTTAATGCATGTTTATTGTTCCTACTTTGCTGTCTTGTTTTAGACAATCGTGGACACTTTGAAGTCACTGAACTGCTTCCAAAAGTTTTATCGACATCAACAGGATTACGATTTCACTACAATATGATGCCGGATGACCTTATCACGACAACCCATGACTACAATAATTATTATAAACACAGAATCAACAAAAACATCTGCGGCACACACCTGGTTACAATTCTCAAGTAAATGTGATTTAGGGTGTGGACATCTGAATTTTCTGAAAGACAAGACAATTTTATGACAGTCATGAAATTCTGCAACATCCACAGAATGACTTGCGTTTAAAAAAAGTTTCACCGCCACGACCCATATGATTCCCCTGCAGAAGAACATGAATACATGTATGCAAGACTAGTTCCATTTTCTGTAAGAAAAGGCTTGCACATCAATGCGTATGATACAGTATTGAATTTGATATAATACACATAGGGGCTCCCGTAAGAAGAACATAGGTCTGTGGGAAACACCCTAGTAAAATAAATAAAATAATAATAATAACATGCAGAGGCGCTACATGTAGGCCATCATTAGGGCATTCCATTGGTTACATAATTATATTCTTTAGCCAAAAAAACAAAAGAAATTATAGCAATAAAAACTGCTTTATGGCAGTTTTCTAAAAAAAGTTATTGTGTTCTAGTCCATGGACCTCGTCTAAAAAGTAAGAAATTAACGAAATATGATAGCCGAAAATTAAAATTTCACACAAAACCTCACAATAATCACACACAGGATGCGAGACGACCTTTTCCCCTCGTGGTCCTCTTTCATATGCAAGCATGTTGGCGCAGTACATGTACTTGTATAAGTACAAGTGTCGGAATAAACAAGTGTTGAAAGCCGTACTATTAGATCTTCAAGTGTCGTGATTATTGTGAGGTTTTGTGTGAAATTTTAATTTTCGGCTATCACATTTCGTTAATTTCTTACTTTTTAGACGAGGTCCATGGACTAGAACACAATAACTTTTTTTAGAAAACTGCCATAAAGCAGTTTTTATTGCTATAATATGCATTGTGGCCAGCCGTCTTTGATGGCACGTTACGGTAGGGGATAGGTACGGGACAGGTACGATCGAGGGTAATACGACACCGTCTCCCATACCGTACCATCAAACACAGCTGGCCACATAAAGCTGCCGGCAATATTCAAATAGGGCTTTCAAACGCAAGATAATAACGTGAAGCTACTGTATAAGGGGTCGTCCGTATTTTTCGAAAAATTAAAAAATCCGTCCTCAGGAAGAAAGGGGGTGGGTGGTCAAGAGCGCTGGCGGAATTTAATTTTTTGATTTTTCGTACCTTTTATTATTTATTTTCGTCAGTGACTCATACACTCGTTTGCACTGTAGTGTAGGATCGCAAACACCAGTATGATATACCGGTACATGACTTTTTTTTGTGGTTGTAGGACTTGCATGGCCTACTCACTTTACTTAGCTACTAGTACTTGACATACATACGTCATTTACATATACATGTACATGTAGGTGCAATCACTGAATCAGTGAACATGGGGTCAGGAGCTCTTATTTTCGAGCTGGGCATCGGTAAAAATCAAAAAATTAATGGGAAAAAATGGGGGGTGGGTGGGTGGGTCAGAGACAATTTTGCACGAGGACGGATTTTTTAATTTTTCGATAATTACGGACGACCCCTAAGCAGAAATATTCGTCTGGAATTTAATTTCGTCTTTTTCGTCCAAGGAGCTTTGGGACTAAATTAAATGCTGGACGAATGTCGATTTGTCCAGCTTTACAATATACTCTTTTAGTAGTCTAGATACAGTGCAACGAGTGTTAGTTTCCAAGATCTTTACAAGACTGGCGAACACTAAATGTCATGAAGAAAGTGAAGAGAAAGGAGGTTTATATAGGAAAGAGATTGTGATAGAAGACTGTGCAATGAAGTTTGTTGTTTTGTTAGATATCTGACGTGTGCTGTTTGGAAGAAGTGTTTGGATGCAAACAGAGCTTACAAGAGATGAGTAAAAAATACTTTTCTACAATATCGTTGTAGGCGAGGAGTGCTTAACATCAAAAGATGTCGTAATGTGTATTGGAACTATGCTAGCCAAACATTACGTAATTATTATGGTAGCGAAGTACGTGTAGTAGGTATTACAATGTGTGCGAGAGTATGGTGAATCAGTGTTTGTGATGATGAGGAAAATATGACGTGTACATGCAAACAAATGAGGATATCATGATGCGAGAACGTCAGAGACGCTACAGAGCTCCCCTCCTAGTGAATGAGTAATGAGCGATAACTAGCGCGATAAAGTGAGCAAGCAAATGGGATAAGCGAGAGAGTGTCAGAAATAGGCGGGAAATCTGACTTGACGACCAGCTCGTGTTTGGCGCGGCGGAGGCTCGTCGAATGCGAGCGATGGCGTCGGCTTGGTTGGATGGCAATGGTCGACAGACTGGTTGTCATGGAATGCTGGTTTGAGTCGGTCGATGGATACTGTGTCGGAGCGGCCGTTGAGGTCGAGGCGGAAGTACTTATCATGACGTTCCAGGACTCGGTGTGGACCAGTGTAAGGACGTTGGAGGGGCGTTCGTGTTGCATCTGTGCGAATGTAGACATGAGAGCATGTCGAGAGGTCAGCTGGGATGAACGGATGCTGGGTGGGTGGCTTGCGGGGTTGTGTAGGGCGGAGCTCGGACATGGCTTGTTTGAGGCGGCTGACATAGGACGTCGGATCCGGAAATGGCTCAGGCTCGTCAGTGAGGAAATCACTTGGCAGGCGGAGGTGGCAACCGTAGACCATTTCTGCAACTGAGCAGTTGAGGTCAGCCTTCAGGGAGGAGCGAATGCCGAGCAGGACTAGTATAGTGGCAGATGTTCCGTCCAGCGTTGGGGATTGTCGGAAGCTCGGAGTGCAGCTTTCAGTTGTCTCTACCATGCCGTTGGCAGCAGGGTGGTAAGCCGTTGTACGAATGCGAGATGTGCCAAGTAGTGACATGAGCGATGACCACAGGGATGACTCAAACTGGGCACCTCGGCCGGTTGTGAGCACAGTGGGAACACCAAATCGGGCGACCCAGGTAGCAACAAACTGGCGAGCGACGGTTTCGGCTGTAATGTCGGGTATAGCAGTGTCTGCTCTAGGATTGTAGGACAGCCGGGTACACGTGTGTAGTATCCCTGCCCGACCAATACGGAAGCAGTACGGAACTAATACGGAGCTTTGCCTTATGTATATTTAGTGTATCTCCGTATGTAAGCGTACGGCGTCTGCTGCATATAAGCGGCTGCGCATTTCTGTTTTGATGAAGAGAAGATTAGATTAGATTGGATAGCAATGAAAGCTAACTCGAAGATGAGATTTTGATAATAACGAGCTATTCAACCTCCAGGTGTGCACCGGAGAGAAAGTCAGTTATTTTGCCGCTTCTTCTCTCACTAACAATTATATCTCAGGTGTGTACCTGAAAGTAGAATAAAAGTAATTCTTGTTGATTTCACCGCGCCTTCCTCGGCTACCTATAACATTGGTGGCAGCGGTGTAGTTTTAAATAAAACAACGTGATTCGACCCCAGACCCCCATGGCTCAACCCGCTGCAGCTCCCTGCGACGAATCATGATGAGAATCATGTTTCTTGCTTTCCTGGGCTTGACCCTGCTTATTAGCTTGCAGCACAGTCAGGATGCTAGCGTGGATCACCCTTCCCTCCGCATGGCGTCCACTGGAGACTCCGATGGCGATTCCAAGCGACCCGCAACCTACATGTATACTACCGGTGGTGATGGCGAAGCTGATGAGGACGACAACAGGCAGTCTGCTGCCCAAGACAAGGAGGGTAGTCCCCAAGACCAGCAGCGTTTGATTTTCGCCGGCACGCAGTCGGAAGCAGGAGCCCACTCTTCACTTGGTACTTCGCCTCCGTGGTGGGATGCAGATTTTCGTCAACACTCTTCCTGGCTAGACAATCACTCTTTACGTCGCGCAAAGCGATGCAATCGACAACGTGAAGACCACGATTCAAGACGAGGAGGGAGGTTATTTGTCTGACGCCGAGCTAGCCGCTCTGAGTCACCGGCTCAACCAAGATGAAGATAAAACCTGGCTCGCCCTTCGCCATAGCTCCAGCCGCCGCCGTGGTTACTAACGCTGATTCCAGGTATGGCATTTTCTTTCCTGTCTTCCTTCAGTCTCCCTTTTCTCTTCAGTCTTCCTTTATGCGAGTGTGTGAATCCAGTTTAGTTTGGTAGGCGTCTGATCATGGTGAGCCACGGTTTACCCAGCTAACGTGGGACAATGTGTGTGACAACGCCCCTTATAGTTATAGTGTATTCAGTTCGGTTTTTTGAACTGCGATGTTCCTGGCGGGTTGTGCCAGCGTGCAGCAAGAGTGCTGTGGTTTCAGGTCCTATTTGGAGGACAGTTCTTTCCCTTTTGACCCCGTGAGATCGTGTGAACCTGGTGTGCTTTTACTTCTATTTTATGATTTGTTATCAGTTCATTTCTTCTGTCTACTCTAAACGTTATCATTTCCGATATAATTTGCCATCTTCCGGTTGACGCTGTTGTTCGTAACTCCTCACTAATTTTTTGAAAATCACGAGGGCGTGATTATCTGTAGGAAGGGAGGGTGTAGTATCCCTGCCCGACCAATACGGAAGCAGTACGGAACTAATACGGAGCTTTGCCTTATGTATATTTAGTGTATCTCCGTATGTAAGCGTACGGCGTCTGCTGCATATAAGCGGCTGCGCATTTCTGTTTTGATGAAGAGAAGATTAGATTAGATTGGATAGCAATGAAAGCTAACTCGAAGAATAAGGATTCAGCCTCTAGGTGAGCACCGGAGAGAAAGTCAGTTATTTTGCCGCTTCTTCTTTCACGAACGATTATATCTCAGGTGTGTACCTGAAAGTAGAATAAAAGTAATTATTGTTGATTTCACCGCGCCTACCACTCGGCACCTATTACACGTGTACCTGGCGCAACCATTTCAACCGGGTCTTAGCCGGGTACACATGTACCTGGCGCTGTCTCACCAGCCGAGGCACATGCTTTAACTGGTTGGTTGGTTTATTTTAATTCGGACAATAAACGGGAACTAGGTCCAATGATAAAAAGGCGAATGGATAAGCCGCATTTAGAAAAGAGAGGGCAGGAATTAGAAAATTTCGAAAGAAGAAGAAGTATCTGACTCATACAAGCCATGTGGTCAGTTCTTTCAAAGTTCGAAAGTGTAAAGTACCAACCGGGTCACAGGTGACCCGGTACTATATTTTCAACCGGGTCCAAGCGCCGCCCAACCGGGTGGATTACCCGGCTCACCCGGCGCTGGAGCACACACTGGTATAGGTACTGTTTCGGGCCAGCGAGTAAAGCGATCTACCATCGTCAAGAGGTAGCGAGACTCACTAGAAGATGGAAGCGGGCCTACGATGTCGACATGGACATGGGAGAAACGGGCATCAGGTTGCTTGAATGCACTCACGGGAGATGTGGTGCGGCGCTGAACTTTAGACTGCTGACAAGCGTGGCAGGTACGACACCACTCACTAATATCCTTGTTCATCGCGGGCCAGACGTAGCGAGCTGTAATCAGGTGCCTGGTAGCGCGGGTACCAGGGTGGGAGAGGCCGTGAAGCGAATTGAAAACAGCACGGCGCAGCTTGGCAGGTACATACGGGCGGGCAGACGCAGTAGAGGTGTCACAGATGAGCGAGTGATCAGTCATGGGCAGAGCTATAGATTGCCAGCATAGCGAAGTGGATGGATCCTTACCAGGACTGGGCAAGTCTGGATCATCTTGTTGAGCGACGGCAAAGGAAGCTGTGTCAATGGCAGTGATGGCAGAGACGGGCTCATCGGGTAGGTGGCATCGTGACAGTGCATCAGCGGCAGCATTCTGAGAACCCTTGACATGACGAATATCTGTCGTGAACTCAGCAATGTACGACAAATGGCGCTGTTGACGCGGGCTGTGGGTCTGTGAACGGCTGTGGATGGCATGTGTCAGAGGCTTGTGATCGGTGCACACATGGAAGACACGCCCTTCCAGGAAGTGTCGGAAATGCTTTATGGCTAGGTAAATGGCGAGGAGCTCGCGACAGAAGGTGCTGTAGCGTGTCTCAGCAGGCTTTAACTTGCGTGAAAAGAAGGCAACAGGATAACACTCATCATCTAGCTCTTGTTGGAGGACGGCACCAACAGCAATGTCTGAAGTGTCGACCATCAAGCTGTAGGCGGCATCCGGGCGAGGATGGTGAAGTGTGATGGAATCAGTGAACGCAGCCTTGACATCATTGAAAGCAGCGATGGCCGAGTCGGACCAGACGAGCGCGCCTTTGGTGCGGTGGCGTTTCTCAAGCATAGCGTGCAGAGGTGCGAGCTGAGCAGCAAGATGGGGCTGAAATCGGTGATAGAATGTGACGAAGCCGATGAACTCACGGAGCTTACGAACACTAGCTGGCTGTGGGAATTCACGAATGGCGGTCATGCGAGCGTCGAGAGGTCGGATACCTGAGGCAGTCACGTGATGTCCCAGGAAGTCAAGCTCATCCTGGCCGAACTGCGACTTCCGGACGTTGATCAAGATGCCATGTGAAGCAAGGCGGGAGAATATGCAGCGAAGGTGGGCCATATGTTCAGCGGGTGAGGCGCTAGCAATGAGCAAGTCATCCAGATATGCAAAGCAGAAGGGAAGGTCTGAAACTACCTGGTCAATGAAGCCTTGGAATGTCTGGGCTGCGTTGCGAAGGCCAAAGGGCATGCGGACAAACTCAAACAGTCCAAAGGGGGTGGTGATGGCAGTTTTCGGGATGTCGTCAGGGTGCACAGGAATGTGGTGGTATGCACGGACGAGGTCAATCTTAGAGAATATGATCTTGTCATGCAGGTGGGACGTGAAGTCTTGAATATGCGGGATGGGATAGCGGTCGGGGATCGTGCAGTCATTCAAGGCTCGGTAATCACCACAGGGTCGCCAGTCACCGGATTTCTTTGGCACCATATGCAGAGGGGATGACCATGCACTAGAGGAGGGACGAATAATGCCTAAATCTAACATGTGTTGGAACTCACACTTAGCGACAGCAAGGCGGTCGGGTGCCAGACGGCGAGGCTTAGCGTGGACGGGGTGGCCATCTGTGACTATGCGGTGTGTCACATTGTGCTTGACAGGCGAGTCACCAGTGGTCGGTCGGACAAGGTCAGGAAACTTATTCAGCAGGGCAGAATACTCACTAGGGCTATCAGTGTCCAGCAGGTTGGTAGCGGAGGTGCTGACATCCGAGGCGGATCCGACAACGGCAAGTTGAGTAGTGGAATCCCGGAGACATCTGGCGGCCAGGTCGACAGTGAGTTGGAAGTGGCCAAGGAAATCCGCACCCAGGATCGGATAGCTGACGTCAGCAACGACGAAGACCCATTTGAAAGTGCCTCGGAGACCTAAGTCTAAATCTAGCAGCTGCTGACCGTACGTGGCGATGCTGCTCTGATTCGCTGCACGGAGACGAGGACTATTGCGATGAACACGACGAGACAGAGTTACGAATGACGGAGGAAGAACACTGACGGCGGCGCCGGTGTCGACAAGGAACTCGACGGACTGGGAGCGATCCTTGACGAATAGTAAGCGCCCGGTAGTGGTATTCGAGGGGCCAACCACACTAGCGGTCGCGACTAGTGGCTGGCCTTCCCGTTTCCCGACAGGAATCGGCAGGGGTCTCGGCATTTGTTCGCCTTCGCACCGAACGCACGATGATACCAGCAAAGGTCGTCGTGGTTGTCACGGCCAGGAGACCTGGAGGCACTCGGGCGGCGTGACGGGGGCCCGGGACTACGCTCTCGTTGGCGGCCACGCTGGGAAGGGGCACCGGTGTCACGGGTCATCACATTCACAGCGGACATCAGCTTGGCGAGTTCAGCTCGGAGCTGGGCCATCTCAGCCCTGTCAGCGGTGCAGGCCTGTTCCGCATCTGTGGACGCTGTAGATCTACATGAT